CTAGGGCAAGCACGTGCTCACGAGCCCAGAAACGTCCCATTCCTGTCATGGAGTGACAAGCAGAGAGACTAGAAAATCGATCAGTCCTGTGTCAGTGTGCTAGTAAGAGTATTCCTTCAACGGGGTTCTGTAGTACTGGCTAATTGTTTTCTACGGACTCCGAGACTGTTTGCAGAATCTAAAATGCTTTTCTAAATTTCAGAAAGAGCAAGCGTATGGCTGTGCACCCACACACAAATACACATGTTTGCATATGTGAATACATTTAATGTAGATGTATAAATGATATCTACTGAAGAGTGTAAAGTAAATTATAATGGCGACGGATATTTGGAAAATCTCATATCCACGTGTTAAAACATAGTGTATGAACAAAATACTATAGCATGAAGTAGAGGCGGACTTATTTCTTTCCGTTACAGCCATAGACTAGAAAGATAATTTTCCGTTTGGTTTTGAATATTGCTTCAAGTAATTCAGTGGTTATTTTATTTCTTGAATCAAATTCTTTACATTGGCTTTTTTTTTTTGCATACTAAAAATTATGATGTTAATTACAATTATTTTATTTATTTATTAGAAACATAAAATATATTGCAGATTGAAAGATAGATAGAAAACTACATACAGTCTTTACAATGAAACACGATACATATAACTGCGTTTAGTGTCTCCTAGTGCAAATTAAGGGTGGTACCAATGTTTTGAGAGAAAGGATACTTAACAGATTGACCACTGGAGTTTAGTAATCCATTAGGGCGTTCCCTAACACAATGAAACTTGACGGTCCATACACATTTTACTAACACGCCCATTTTTACGACCAATCAGCAGAATAATGCTACTGAAGAATTGTTTATATCTAAGTATCTAGTTAAATAGAGAACCTATTAATTCAACTTGTTATTTTATAGACTTTAAGTTTAGTGTTAAGATGCTCCGTAAAGAAATTCAAATACTAAAGCTACAATATGATGTCATGGGAAATGTTACAACTGAAAACATTAAATTACTGTTTATTCTTTGTTACAATGTTTGTTTCTTAAGTTCTTTTTTGAATTATTTTATTCACACTGAAACATATAGTAAACAAATATGTCTCAAATTTCTTTTAAATTCCATGTGTCTGCACGTGCGGAAGATATATGAACAGAAAAACAACAAAAAAAAACACTTGTGTGTTGAAAAGGAAAATGCTTTTAGATTAATTCTCGTCTATTTTATTGCCTATGTATTTATTACAATTGAATTTCTATAAAATATATTTTTAAACGCAATTAGCACTTTATTAAAATTTTCCTAAGTGGAAATAAACGTAAGCTAATACTCCTCAAAAGCTTTCGTGTACACTTACATTACCTCAGACGCTACTCGTACTCTTGTAAGTACCTCGGTATGCATATGTGTATATTTAACTGCTATACTATAAACTAAGCTTCTAAGTCGGATCGGTTGTGGTCTATTGGTAAGCGTGACCGGGCTGTCAATCCAAATATTTATGATTCACGCCTTACTGCCGCAAAAATACACTCCGTACCTTGGTACCATGGACTTTACGCCTCCACCACCTGCCTGGATCCAGAAACTGAGCCACTTTAAAACCATGGCGAACACCAGGAGACTCCACAACAGATTCAATAGCTAATCCACCCCCAGCACCGGACTTCACTTTACCTTCCCTACTTACTTCTTCTTGCTAATCTCGGGGTACTCCCGTTTCCCCCACATTAAATTCTCGGCATAGGATTTTTAGATCCCCGCCGCCCTGATGGACCATCTGTCCAATATCGGCCGTTTAGTTTAGTTTAGTTAGTTTACTTTGCTCTTCACTTTTTATTGTCTACAGTTACTCTCTCGTTTACCTTTCTAAAGTTACATATCTCGTCTGCATTAAATTCCCATTTTCTCTAGTTAAGCCCATATTCCTAGACCACGAGCGAGGTGAAGGAGGATTGTTTAATCGTCGAGCACCCCAGATTAGTAATTATTTCTTCGGAAATAATTATTTTTAAAACTAAATAATTGTCAGGAACAAACAAAACAAACTTCTATTCCCTAGCTAGTTCAAAATTAAATAATAGACCATTTTGTAGCTTTGCGTGAAAATTCTGAATCAAACAAACAAATAAACATTTTGAATTTCTGACATGAATTTATTTAGTATTTATAAATACAGTACCTGATGAAAGCCTAGCGTTTAAACTTCATGCAGTAAAAGTTATAAATGTATTTAACAGCAATAGTTACGTATGGTGTTTCTCACACCTCCTTCTTTTGGAGGTGTGTATCCGGGAGCATGTTTTAGTGGGATGAGGATTCGAACCCGCAACCTACAGAGTGCGAATTGTGCGTCCCAGCCACCTGGTCATGCCGTGAACTTAACAGTAGTTATCATATACGTACTTTATATTTCCCTTTTATATAATGTCCTTTTCCTCACTCATAACTTTCTCTGGAAGAAAACTGAATCCCTTTCTCTTCACACTTCAATTCTGGCATGAAGTAAGACATTTAATGCAAGGTATTTTCTTCTAATTACTGAAGTCTGCCATTGCGCATGCGTATTAAGAGCTACCTGACACTATTCACAAAGTGACAAATCCTACTGATCTTCATTACGTTGGACTGCTGTTCTGGGATTTCTCTCTATCCGTAAGAAGCCTCAACCTGTAAAACGTGCTGCTTGTCCATATCATGTGGAACTGTGGAAAACAAAACAAACTCTAAAGCTGTTACATATAAACATTTTAAATATAAATTCACAATCAAATGTAAAGTTTATTAAAATTGAGATGTTGGATTTATTCTAACTATTACTTTTCGACTGAAAAACACTAAATGTAAAGGGTGAATCTAGCTTAGAAATCTGGAATTTTCATAGTAAAGTTTAATAAAAAAAAACTATAAACGTTTCTAAAAACACATAATGAAGTTGATAGGTAAAAACTTAATATCCTCTCTTTATACTTTTGTAATAAATATGAAAATCAGAACAACAGTTTCTATCTTTCATTGTTAACATGTAAATCAAAATACTAAGAGAAATACCAGAGTGACCCAAAGAAAGCGTTGAAGGTCTAAAGCATGTAAGAAAAGATAATCTATGAAGAAAAAGTGGATTCTTCGTAAAAACTCATCTGGAGTTTTTTGCTCAGAGAATTATTGCGAAGTAACTTAATACGACATATATATTAAATATTTTAGTTTTGTTCTTTACAATACAGACTTTATTAACGATTGAAAACTCACAAATTATAGGCGAAAATATGCTAATTTTTAATTTAAAGAGATCTTTTCTCTCCTATAAATATTCCAATCATATTTGTGTGGATGGATAAACAAACAGATATACAAATAGATCGATAAATATGAAGGAAAAGGTACACTGATAGACAGATAGATTTTAATCTATTCTCCGCGTGACCTGTAATTCAATCATCACATCACAGTCGATATACACACGTTCCTCCATGTTTTAGTCAGAGCTAAATCAACAGCAGTCAATCGAAAACTTTTCTTGTTGTTTAGAGTGCTTCCTTTTTCGGTTACGTTCTGAGGAATCTGACATCGTTATTAGAGTGATTTCCAACAATGTATCTCGTTGAACGTAGAATCTTCCTTAACAGAAAAAAAACTAACCATGATTTTTAAAAAAACCTGATGTAGAACATTCATCAAAAATAGATGAAAGAATACATGCCTGTTTACGAAGATAAAATAAACACGTCTTTTTTTTACAGTTAATTAAGTTTGGATATTGCATTTAACTCGTACCAACCAGTTCATTTTGAACCGTATGTTGTTTGTAAATACGATAAGGTTTTTCTTTGTCACTAAACAAAAATATGTGACTTTAAAACAAAATCACTAGAAAATCAATTAAACAATAACTAGAGTGATATTTAAAAGCAACTTAAGAACATTTTCTTCACATTTGGACTTCTTTAGCGAATACAATGTATCACATGTTTCCCTAAGTTTTGTGTTTAGGTAAGAATGCAGTAGAAAAACCCTTCTTTTTGTCAGTAGAAAACCCCTTATTTTTGTCATTAAACAGCAGACAGAACTTTTATTATTCACTGTTACAATATGTTATAGATATTCTAATTAAGGCACAAAGATAACAAAGAACGCTCCCAGAAAATGCAATCATTTCGTTAGAAATGTAGAATAGCATATAGTTTTCTTGTTTACGGTACGAAGACAATAGAAGATACTCGTATTGGATTCATCCAGATTCTAACTTATGAATTTTATGAGAGCTTTACATACCAGGGGATTTAATCAGATCATGGTTGAATGGAACGATCAGAATAGTATTTTCCCTTTATATAACTGAAATCTCTCTAGACATGAAGTTTCTTCAATAACCAACACTCCTAACCACCTTTATTGCTGAGGAGTTAGTGTCTTGACCTTTAAGTTGTATCTATCAAGTTTAATATTATATATATTTTATGAATATTTTACTAATTACAATAGCTAGTACATTGCCCTCTGCCTTACATCTGCACATCTTCTTCCACCTTGAGCATTTCCATTGTATCAGCAGGTAGAGTGCCTTACCTCAGAATATTATTTTTCAAACTTTAAAAGAAAATGCGCCTATTTAAATTACATATCTTACATTTCTTCTGAAGATGTCAAATAAAGAAATGTTCGGTTTTGTTTCTCCAACTTTGAGAAAATTTATGAATATTACATAGAACAGTGTGTGAATATTACATAGAACAGTGTGCCACATTAAACTTTCCTAGAAATTTTCAGTAATTTGGGTTTTGATACTTTGCGTGATTTTTTGATATTTTTACGTAAAACTCAAATTTATATGTAGACATCCCCACGCTAGTGATCACGTATCATCTCTAAGAAAGGGGATGGACAAGTAATATTTCTATAATTTTCCGTTTATTTGCTGTCTGTCTTTCGTATTTGAACTCATTCGATTTCAATTAATATTTTTCGAACAGGACTTTGTTGTCTTTTTCTTTTACCTTCAGCCTGGCACCGGGAAAGAAGAGACAGTTTATAAAAAAGTAGCGGTTGTTGAAAACTTTTTCGACATCATCTATGAAGTTCACGTGGATATGGACACACGGGGCGGCAAGCATGCTGGTCAGAAACGCACGTATAAAACCGTAAGTTTTATCTAGACATATCTCCTGCTCATCAATAAACGTGGCTTTCTCTCTGTTTTAAAGTAAGGAGTTATATTACAGAAAAGAGTACAGTGTTCTTTGTGTTGTTTTCTGTTTAGTTCTTACAGAACGTGTGTAACACATATTTCTCTCTCTTCCCTGTGTTATATTTTCATGTATATATATATATGTAAAATAATTGCATCGTTTTATCATAATATAAAGATAGAACTTGTCCAGGTCAACTCAATATGAAACAGAAATAGATGAATATATATATCTACAGAAAAACAGTTGAATAGATAAATACATATATTAAATATTAAGTATATTAAATACATGTATTTATCTGTTCAACTGTTTGATATTGAATTTCAATCGTTACACAACAAACACCAACATGTGTAATTTTAAACGTTCCACAGCTTAACTGAAATAACGATAGAACCACAAATACTTGACATTCACCAGATATAGTGCACTGTGAAAGTCTTGCATCAAAGAAAGAAAGAAAGAGGACTACTGTGTCAAGGTTTTTGAAAGGATAATTACAAGTACAATGTTTATACATTCTTGAAAGTTGCTATGGGTTGTATGTTGACATTAGTGTTATTACATGGATTTCTAATATTTTTTATAAAGTAATTTGTTGTTTTTTCAAAGATCAGCATCACGTAAGTGACATATTCTTCATCCAGATTAAGAAAGAGAGGAGGGTCCATTACAAGGATACTTATATCTTTCTCTACCATTGATGAGATAAAATCAATCAGGTAGAATAATGAAACTAACAATAAAAAGGAAAGTAATATTCTATTTCAAAACGTTTATTCGATAATGAGTTCGCTCCATGAACTTTAGTAATGGCAACTTTTTCGTCCACATATAATAGAATTAAGCCGACAGTAATGTCAGGACCATATCACATAAATATTTCTCTATATATAAAGCAAATAGTTAACAAACCTTACCCAACTTTGTCTGTTTTCGCGTTTATGGACTGTGACTTTATGTGTCAAAATATATTTGCAAGTAAAGAAGTTAATGGTGATGCTATTTAATTATTTCTTCAGATTGCCGAAACATATGCTTTCCTGCCACGAGAGGCGGTAACTCACTTTCTGATGTCTTGCGTCGACTGTCAGAAAAGAATGCACGTCGGGGTGGACAGTGGCGGAAAAAGTGGTTCTCATGGCAACAAGGAGCATGGCGCCAGCAGCGGTAACACTTCCCCAGAGTCTGTCTCATCAGCACGTGGCGACAGCAGCGCTACCCACTTAACAACGGACATTGATTATAGCCTGCCAATAACGACAACGTATTTGAAACGTATGCGAAGTCTAGGTTATTCCGAAGAAGAAGCTTTGAATTTTGACGGGGAGGTAAGTATTGTTATAAAGCACTGCATTTCACCTGTAGAATTTTTTTTATTTAATCACTTATATTTGACCATTTATTACACCGTGATGTATAAAACATTGCTTTTATCACCATCAAATGTTGTCACGAGTATTAGTCACTTAAAATTAACCAATCAGGAAATAAGGCGAAAAGTTATGGTTATTATACCTGTTGAGTCAATAAAAAAGAAAGGCTCTTAGAAATATTGTAACGTAAACCTTCTTTAAAACTTATGTCTATATGTCTAACGCCCTGCATATATATTTATCTTTGTATCTCTAACCATTTTTATCTCTGTTGATGTTTACCTAGCTTCTCGTTGGCCTATTTTTCTATTTGTATATTTATTTAGTTTTTGTATTTTTCTCTATTGGTTCATTAGTAATGTTATCTAACAGTCAATTAGTCTATTTTAATCCCTCATATATGAAATTGTGTGAATATATTTATCAGTATTCCTTTCTCACTGTTTATCTATTTATCCAATAGAGTAACAAGTAACATTGTATTTGTAAACCCTGTTTAAAAGTTTTACTTCCCGTATTTCGTAAAAGAATCTGGACTTGCCACGTTTACCAGAGCTAGAAAAAGAGTTGGAACAAATAGACACACTCTAATTAATCAAAAATAACAATATTTACTACCATATCTTAATTAGATGAAACATAATGATTCCTTATTGTCTGTTTCACGTGAGTTAAAGGGGCGAGCGCGGCCTAGTGATTAGCATGCTGTACTGTTTCTTTGAGGTTCGCGCTTTCAGTAGCCCACGAGTTGGCGGTGGGTAGTGTTAACTAGCTGCTTTTTCCCTCTAGTTTTTCTTTTCAAAATTAGGTATAGCTAGTTCAGATATCCCTCGAGTAGCTTTATGCAAAGTTCAACAACACCATCTTGGTTAAATAAGTTGCACAGTCCTAATTACTGATCATTTTACATCTCAGATTAAATTATCTAGTTCAAAATACGTGGGCTACACACAAAACAAACTTTTAACAAGAAGGAGGCCTAAAAATTATTAATGGTTTTAGGACTATAAGCAGGCATTCACTTTCAATTAATCAGCATTAAAATATTTTATGAATCAATAGTTTTGGTTTGTTTTAATACACTACGATTCGTTTTGTTAAAACTGCAAACTTCACACCGATATGAAGTTTGCTTGTCCTGTCAAACTGTTGATTGCAAAATTATGAATCCCTAAATTAAATTCCTGTCTCTGTTTGATGCTCCAGAAATATCCTAGCTAGCTCTAAAAATTTGATAGAAAAAAGTAAAAAAATAATATCGCAAGCTGCTAAAGTAAGAAAAAAATGATTCCGTAAACTTAATCTATTAATAAAAACAGTACAGGAAAATGTGACTGACAGAAAAAAGAATTACTGCAAACTTCATTAGTTTGGTTTGTTTGTTTTGTTATTAAGCACAAAGCTACACAATGTGTTATCGCTGATATGCCCATCACGGGTATCTAAACTCGGTTTTTAGCTTTATAGCATTAGTTTTGAAAAAAAAAGGTACTGCATATTTAATCGAAGAAAAATGGCACCTCAAACTACACTATTCAATAAAAAAAGTTGGCCATGTGAAATGCAATAAACAGGATATATATATATATATCACAAAATGTATTCAAGAGAAAAATAGTCGTATTGTTTACTAAGCCTGTCGTCATACTCTGTATGATTTAACTAACTAAAAATGCCTGCCAGCTCATTCTTTTTCTAGAAGGTTCCAACGATCACAGTGTGTAAGTTTGTACTTTCTAAGTAGTGTTGCAGTAATGGTTAGAAGGTTTGAGTTTTATAAACAGGTATGTGACCACGTTCAATAGGATCCCGTTTTTATAAATAGACTGTAATACATGTTCAGTAAGTATCAAATTAAAAAAAAAAGACTTTTCTTGATTGTCTGTAAAAATGTGCTTCCTAAAACGGCATGTATTTAGAATATGTAAGGTTCTACTTTCGAAACATATTTATATAAAGTTATTAAGGTTCAGTTAAACACAAACACCTATATTTATGTTTTTTAGGGTTGTATTTTATACAATGGTATTTTTTCGTGATATGTAAGGTTTACATCTCTTACCAGACCTATCGTCTTGTTTTAAAAGTTTCAGTTTTCCTAACTATATTTATTCAGTAATGTTTCATTTATAAGGTCCAGCTCTCTACTCTTGTTTACTAACTTAATTTGTATGTTTCAGTTCGCCGGTTATAACCTGCCAAATACACACATAAACATACATGATTTTCTCAAATAATGGTTTAGATAAAAATTGGATATTTAATCACTTCTCCTCAAAATAATATTTCACAAATTGATGGGAAAAAAACATTTTCTTCAGCATCACGAGCACGTGCCTTACAAGGTGGCAGTGAAGAAAGAAAAATGCACTTTTTTCTCTCTTAATAATTTGTTGTAATTCATATAACTTTTACACTACACTTAGTAGTTTATACAATGGTAAGACAGGGCTCATTTGTACATAGATTGGCTCACAGAAATTGTTTGTTTATCTCTGATTATATTGCCAACTATCGTGAATATTTAAATTTGTCTTGGGTCTGGTTACGAAATAAACCTGTTACTTTAGTAACAATCCTGTGTAAGCTTACACTTCATTAAAATTTGCTTTAAAGCACCTAAAACATGCATTCATGTTTATACATTAACGGTGGTTTCGACGAAGTAAAACTGATCAGTGGAAATAAATACAAATATCTTCTTGTTCCTTGGATTGAAAGTTTTACCAACTCTGTACACTGTCAATTGATACCAGTAATTATGCAGCTTATTTGGGATTTTTTTGCTGGTTATTACTCGAAACATCTAATGAATTTTGTACAATGTATTCATTCAGAAGTTTGCTTGCTTGTTTTCAAACTAAAATCAGACTATTTCTTGCAAAGTAAGTTATATAATAACACCAGTCAAAACGATAATATGATCGCTTTTAATAGATAATCATTTCTTAGCAAAAGCACCTTGGTTTTAACGTTTTATCTGTTTTTTGATCATATATACTTTCTAGATATCTTTCGAAAATAGATAACCTGTAACATTATTTTTTTGACTGAGAAAGGTTTAAAATTAACATAAATAAGCTAATTTTCCAACTTAATTCTAAAATGTTTCTTAGTGTACTTTTTGTAGTAAAACTACACATTCTGTAATGCTATTTTTAATATAAACTTAAAGCGATAGAACACGGCTGACCCTTCCGTAGAATTTCTGAGCTGGTACGTTAGAGTGATAGCTAATTCCATAACGTCTATGGTAGAGTTGCTGCTGAGTGGCTTGCCTTCCCTCTGGTAAGTAGTTCAAAATTAGGGACGGCGGCAGATAACCTTAGTAGCTTTGCAAAATACAAATACTTAAAGTGACGTCTAACGCATACTATTAAATTTTTCACTTATTTTGAATAAATAATAGGTTTTAGTATAAACTTCCGGTAACATAGTGCGCACACTGTTATGTATATATATATATTACTGAGTTGTATATTTGTCATGAACAAGGTCTATAGGTGGATTGTAAATAATATAAATTTATATACTGACCCTATTTATGCCAAATATATAAAAATGATTTATTATTATAATTTCTAAAAATAAAAACTACATAACTGACTAAAATAGAAATGAAAACAGATAATTAGATAAATGAAAGAAATAAACCAACACAAGCACAATAACAAAGCAATAATTTAGATTGACTTTTATGGCCCTAAAAGTATTTCGAGATGAAATAAAATTCGTTTTATGCACAACACGGAGCAAGAATGCAAAAAAGCCATATACATGACAACGCTCCGTAAATAGTACAAATTCACCTCGTATACCATGGTCGCAGTACTATATCGTTCTACATCATTATGCTTACATAGGTTGCTTGACCTTTAACCCTCTGTTTTTTTAACTCCTTATTAATTTTCATTTCTTACATATTTTGATATATGAAGTAGTGTATAAGTGTAAAGATTTTCTTCGGTTTAAAAGTAGTTTCAACACTCATAATTGTGGATTTGTTATTATTGTAAATTATAAAGAAATTCTCGCGTTTCTTTCTTCCCCTTTTCAGTAGTAGTTTAGTTGTCAGAAATAATATTGTAAAATTTGAATTATTCAAATACATCATAACTTACATTAAACATGCTTATAGTGGTCAAACATGCTAAATCGATTTTTATAATCATCTAAATTGTATATGCAAAAATATTTTTGTAAAACACAGCACGTATTCTCGACGAAATGTAAACACCTCCCATTTTGTTTCTGTTGACCCTATTAACCTGAAATTGGTGTCAGAAAATGTCATTTTTCTATGTATTTTCTATTGGTGATGTTTGGTCACTGATATTGTCGGTCTTCCATGTTAGCATGCTTTCTATTTAAAGGAACACTTTACAAAACAGAGTACACCCAGGCTGTAAGAATACGAGAAGCTGTAGAGAACAATTTTATAAGTTTACTTGGTTCTGCTGATAATTATTAGTATTTCAACATTTCAAGAGTTTCAAGTTTTGGATAGCAGTATATTTGTTTGAATTAATGTTAAAAATTCTACCGTTTGCGTAAAACGAATATATATTTCTTTTGAGATTAGTGAATTATATCAAAACTTTTAATGACCATGATGCTAATTTCTTCCTGTCCAATTAGGTATTGTTCTTAAATGTCTCAGCGACTGACTGCTCTGTCTATCACGCAAGTCTTGCTAAGAAGTTACAGTCCAGGGTGCATGTGTCACTGGAAAGCCATTATTGTGCATCATTTAATTTAGCACACGACTCAAAACGCGTCGTGGCCGTGTGGGGACGATTAAGGAACCACTTTACCTTGACATCGTTCCCATGGTAACGCATACTGTTACCGGACGGATTTGTTGCTACGGCGTTCTTGCATTAGTTTTAGTGAAGTCCTAGCGATATCGAACCACAGGGAAGTGTACACGTTTCTTGTGCCATAGAAAGCAATGA